CTGAGCATCCTGTTGGACTGACCACACAAATCTGGCCTATGTCCAAGAAGCAAAACATCTGAAACCTAGACAATCCCGTGGGTCTCTTTTCTTTGCCTGTTTTAACTTTGTCATTTCTTACACCTGAGAACATTTCTCAATCATGATGACTAGCGTGTGAATAAGGAGGTAAAGCATAAGCTCTGTTTTCGCCGCATGATTACTCCTGATGGTATTCCAGCCAAAGACCTAAACCAGGAATATCCTACTACTTGAAACCTGTCTTCTTGGGAATCTCTTTTATTGTAGATTCTGTTATTGTTCCAGAGAACCAGTGAACCTCAGTTCGTCTCAGATCTTCATGGATCTTCATGATGTTGGAGCTTGTCCTGTTTTTCTATGTGTTCCTGTATCTCTGACTGTGACCTCCTGTATGTCTTCTCTTTCATCCTCTGACATGGGAGCTGGATTGGAGCTCATTTGCCTGGCTGTCTGTTTCCTGTGGAGCTGGTTGACAGTATCTCTGCTTCTGTCTCCTTGAACCCCAGTCGGCCTCAGAAGATGGCCACTCACACTGTACTTGGCTCTGCTGGATGTTTCTTCCTGTTAAATCAATGTCAATGAGTCGATGCAGTTAACTGGTTTTCATTAGATAGAAATCTTTGAAGTAATCTGACTGTATGATCTGGTTTAATTGTCTCTGTAGATTGCCTTGAGATGACGTGTGTTGCGAATTGGCACTATAGAAATTAACTGCATTGAATTGAATTTAAAGGTCTTACCTGTTTGCAGCAGTTCTCTGTCTTCATCACCTGCCTGCCCACTCTCTAGCGCAATGTCTCTTTAAGTACCCACACCCTCGCATCTCACTCACAGGGGTACTGAATCAAACACCTACAGATCCAAGCTACTTCCACTTAATCTCTCAAGTAAGCAAATCAATCTGTCATCAGTTGTCATCAACCAGCTCCTTCCTGGTCAGCGTGCTTTCTCCCGTCTAACCAACCAGAAAGTTCAGCTGCAGTTCTCCGCTTTTCTGTGTGTTTCTGCATGTGGCTTAAAAAACTACAAACCAACATGAGAACACCAGAAGGGATTGAGGCTCATAAATGTGGGTCTCAGGAGAGGAACCTGTAGATTAAGGCAAAGTCACAATCAGCACGGTTCAAAATGTGAAGGGTTTCCATGTGCATCTGTGTATGCAGTCAGACAAAGAGGATCAGATTTCTGGTGTCTTGTGATGCTACACCTGCATAGCATTATGAACCATTTGAATCATCAGCACTTTCCAGAAAACTTAAAACAGTCCATCATCACAGGGCTTTTCAGCAGCTTATTGATCGGAAACATTTGTCCTGAAGACGTAAAACTGCAGCCGCCTGGGTCCACGAAGATCAGTCCTGCAAAAAAGCTGCAGCTGAGCTGAAAAATGGAGAACAAAGTAGGCAACGATGGTCAGGGAAAAGCAGCGATACCCAGCAATCTGCACAGCAGATTATCCTCCCGGAGGTTTCATCTTTTATTTCATTCATTCACAAAGAAAACACATTTTCATCATTCATTATTTATGTAAATAAATCGAGAAATAATTGAGAAAGGGTTAAAAGAACATTCTTTCCCGCTTTCCTCAAAGAAAAATATTAAAATATGAGTTTTACAGAATTCACCAAGTCAAAAAATATCAGACAGCTTATCTCATAATTACGAGGTCAGTATCCCGTTAATATTAGTGTTGCAACCATACCGATACCAGTATCGGACGGGGAACTAATACTGCACTAAAACAGTGGTATTGGTATTGGCGAATACTGACAAATAGGGCTACGATACCATTTAGAGAGCCAAAAGTTTATTCAACTATTGTCACCCGTTCCAGGTAGGCAATATAGTTCTACTGGAATCACTTGGTATTAGTCTTTTTCCTGCTTCACTAAGGTAGGCAGCAGCTTGACAAAGCCATTATTTTACATCCAAGTAGTATGCAGCTCTTCATATATATATACACACACACATCAATTTCAAACAGATGGTATCGTATCGGCCGATGCTGCACAGCTAAGTATCGGGGCCAAAAAATGGCATCACTAGTAATTATGAGATATTATCTCGTAATCTTGTCTATATTTTTGGTTATGATTACTTGAGCCAGTAATGTAGCATCTCTCAGAAACCTGGTCTTTCTGATTACGTCTTAGAAATATCTGCATCTGTTCACTGAACAGTTGTCTGTACCGAGGTCTGTCCTGATACACGTTGGAGCTCTGCTCCTGTTTTTCACTTCATCAATAAAGTACGCAGCTATAACCCTGGGATTACTACTTATAAGCATGCAGCCTTATGACCATACATGAAATCCGTCAACAGCTACATTAACACAGAGTCCGTAAGGTTTTAGTGTTTCATATGAATCAACATGCTGCATAAAATTGGGATGTGGTCGGTTTAAACGATACTGAAGCCTCAGCTGTACTCCTTGCGGATCGAGGATTTTGAGAAGGTACCGTTTGACTGTTATCTGGGACAACACTAAGCTAGCAAAAATGCATTTCAGATGCATTAATTCATAGCCATAAAGCATCCCATGCTGGTTTAATTGCTCCCACAGGAACAGGGCGATTTCCAGCAAGTCAGAGTACAGTGGGCTTTTTAGCCGAAGCAATTCTAAGGACTCACTGTGCAATGCTGACAAACTAAAACTAATTTCATCCACATTGAGGAAACCCAGTATTTCCCAGTGCTGCATACCTTAAAGGAAATAAGAAGCATATTGAATCCGTCAACGCACTCATTGTTCATGTTTCATGTGGTGTAGCTCAGCAATGACTGTCCTTCATGATCTGCTAGATATAACATATTATCTTATGTGATCTTATCTCGTAATTATGAGGAAAGATCTCATAGTTAAGAGATAAAATCTCGTAATTACAAGATACCGATCAATATGCTTCTATAGAGTTTTTGGATAGATGATTAAAAAAAACTTTATTATTTATCCACCAGTTGGAAATAAAAACAAGAAGAATCTGATTTTATTCATAACACCTAAGGTTCTTAATGAGTAAAATGATATTTAAGCAGCTTATCTGATTGTCTCCTCTTTTAGTTTACTT